ACTTAAATTAAAGTTTTTCTTCATTACCCATTCAAGCCGTCTCCAAACATTATAAACCAATCCAGAGTCTCCTCCCACAGGCAATCTATTTTCTCTATTTAATAAATACCTGTGTCTCTGCTTCTTCGTCAAACGCATTCAGTTCCTCTTGCTTCTCCTCTACCATTTGTTGCACAGTATCAAAGTCTTCTTGAAGTCTCTTCTAGTCAGTGAGAACAAAAACTTATTTGAACTTTAAGAACAAAGATTATTTGATGTAATGGCTTGAACTTTACAATGAAACTTTGAGAGATTTGTGAAACATCAGACAATAGTAACAAGTTGATTTCCTTTTATGTAGCCCTAAATTGTTTTACCTTTAATTTATTGTTGTTGTTTTTTATAGTACTGAGGAATAACTATGATTACTGATATAACAGCTAGCTATATACTTTTAAAAACATATGACATTGGACTGTTTTAAGTGACATCGGAAATTAGCTCAGTTTCATTCGCAGTTGAAATCTCTACTTATAAACAGATGTAACTAACAAAAATTATGTAGTTTTAACCGGAACTGGTCATTATTCCTCAATAAATAAGAATAAAATCACTTTATGATAACTCAGAGCAAAAAATTAATGAAATTTAGGATATTTCGTACAACATTTATTAGTAATCAACTTTCCTACAATGGTAACAAGCACAGCAAGCAAGTTCAAAAACATGCAAATTAGACATACGTTACATGAACAAATACACATTTTTTTTTATCAACATAAATAGGGTAAAATGAAAACGAATTAAAAAATCAACAGTAACTTAACAACCATTTAATGTGCATTACTTAAAACAAAGGTGCATGACAACAGCCATAAAACAGCCTCTTTCTTAGATCCACTTGACCAGACGTTACTCTACAAAACTCTCGATAAGATACGAAAAATTTGGCAAATAATGCACATGTGCAGCCCAAACCTGCATTTTACTCGATAAAATCATGGTAGAGTATAAACATATCTGGTAATAATCAAAAATATACAATCTACTGACCAGAAAGACAGGTATTATATTTTGTCCCTTCAAAGAAATTCAGCAGAAACAGAAACGGATTGGGTTTTAATAAGCAGTTTTAGCAAAGAAAGAAATCGTGAAATATATCAGTCAAACAAAAGCAAAAATACCGGCAACTGAACAAAAAATGCTATTGTAGTGTAACATTAAAATGTGAAATACTGTTATCACTTTAATATGTAACATACGTTTTTATTCTGTCACTCCACTGACCTAATTAATAAACAACATTTCTACCTGTAAAATAACGTTTCAAAGCATAGAAATATCTTAAAACTTCCATCCTTCTACGTTGGTTCTCTATTTTTCAGAGGGTAGAGTAAGTTATATTAAAACAGTTTTTGAGCCATCACACCATTAACAGTCCATGTTGCCACATCCAGTCACACCCCACCTAATGGCCATACATTTAACAATAGTCCTATTGCATAGTTTTCAACTCAAAAGGCTCCATCATAAGGCTATCATGTTGAAAGCACACCATTCCTCCCTGCTAGCTTTCCAAAATCCATTTAGTGTATGTTGATGATGGTTTCCCAGCACCCATTTCAAAAGTCCGATTGTACAGAAATTTGTAAGTGGAAGCAAGCTGTGTACATGCGACTTGTAGTGCTTATCCAGACATCCTTTTTCATTATATTTTATAATGTTGCCTGAGGCATATAAACAGCTTTTGCCACTAACCTTTGCATTCATAGATTTTCACCTGTTAAAAGATGCCAGACTTTGCCTGTTATAGCTAGGGTACAAACTGTTCTAGAATTCTTTCTGGATGTTCCTGGTGCCCCAAGCTGATCCATATTCCTTTGTTTTTCCAATGTCATTAAGTACAAGAAATTTTCTTGTCTTGGAAATTCTAAACACTCAAACTGAGCACATATTTATGATCTAAGTTATGAATATTTCACATCTGAAAGGTACCCTTCCCAAAAGCTATCAATTTTCAGTGTCATTACACTATCTACTATATGCCAAACAATCTCAAAACGTAGTTCTGATACATTTTGTTCCACTGGTTGAGGTTGTCACATATTTGATATACATAATTAAAATAATTTTAATATATTGTATTCTACCCTGTAGTCAAAGAATTTTCAAAGCTTGTTTTTAAATGTCATTTTATTATTTTACTGTTCACTTATGAACAGTAGTACGCTTTAACTGTATTAACTTTGAATTTAAGCAAAACATTTTGTAATCACGAACTGCAATCCTCAAATATTCTACTGCATGCTACTTAGTTTGAGTAACAGCTTGAAGGAAAATATTTCAAACCACATAAAATGCAAGTTGTACCACATATATGCATTCATTTTGCCGAGAATTATATTTCATTAATCCTAAAACATCACATATACTTCAGATAATTCAGCAGTTCATAACACACTGAAGACATCTCTTCATGACTGTAGTTATAGTAGGAGAAACATAACATTTCTACAACATAAAACATGTATAATAAAAAGCAAAAACACTTATCAAGCAACTTATACCAAGGCAGAAGACAAAAAGCAAAGAAAAAAAGTTCCTTCACCATAAGAAAGAACACCCCAAACCAAAACATTGAATGTTGATCTTACCGATATATGGAGGCTGTGGTCCTCCAGGTTTTTACTTGCTAACTGTTGAATAAAAGGTAAGCACTAAATAAATTCAACTAAAACCATTTCCCAACATAGATGAATGGTGAATGAAATAAGTTGTTCATACCACACCAAAATCACGGAATAAAATTTTACTGACTGTAAAATCACTAAAGCATGACTTTCCATAAGCAATATCAAAGAATGGAACCAACTAATCTCACTATAATACTGCTGTAGATTTTAATGTGTTCTGATAAACAGATTAAATTGTGTGTTTTTAAAGCTTCAAATTTGCTTACATTAAAATTAATTTTGCATTTTTTGTTCAGTATAATTTGTACTTGAGAAGAAAAAAAATTAGCAGATTTCTGGTATCAATTCAGACTGTACAAGGACTTCTTAAAATTTACTTTGCAACTGTTTTCTTGGAAAAAAATTTCTGAAACAAACAATTAAGTTTTAAATAGTTTCATTGCCACGCCTTGTATTTCTCTAATTATAATAATGAAGATACATCTTAAACTTAACTCACATGCATTGTGAGTTACTAGCATACTTCAAATATGTGCTGAAGAGTTAAGGATGTATACACTGACTTAATACTGAAGCTGTACTGATGAGTTAAGAATGTATACACTGACTTAATATTGAAGCTGTACTGACAAGTTAAGAATGTATACACTGACTTAATATTGAAGCTGTGCTGAAGAATTAAGAATGTATACACTGATTTAATATTGAAGCTGTACTGAAGAGTTAAGAATGTATACACTGACTTAATACTGAAGCTGTGCTGATGAGTTAAGAATGTATACACTGACTTAATATTGAAGCTGTGCTGAAGAGTTAAGAATGTATACACTGACTTAATACTGAAGCTGTACTGATAAGTTAAGAATGTATACACTGACTTAATATTGAAGCTGTTTTTTCAGTTTAAGAATGTATACACTGACTTAATATTGAAGCTGTACTGAAGAATTAAGAATGTATACACTGACTTAATATTGATGCTGTACTGACGAATTAAGAATGTATAAACTGACTTAGTACTGAAGCTGTGCTGACGAATTAAGAATGTATAAACTGACTTAATACTGAAGCTGTACTGAAGAGTTAACAATGTATACAGACTTAATATTAAAACTGTATTGAAGAGTTAAGAATGTATACAGACTTAATATTGAAACTGTATTGAAGAGTTAAGAATGTATACACTGACTTAATATTGAAAAGTTGATTCTAACATTACCAGTAGATATTGTAATTGAATGGCGTGTATTTTAACAATGGTTATAATTAATAAATTTATCTTGTTATAGAATGCTACTCAAAAATAGGCCTAGTACTGATTTTTTGAAGATATTCACAAGACTTATGTTTATTGAATTTACACAAAATTTGTGTCCTTCAGGAGCTTTAAATTTACAGTTAATCAACAAAACTAGTTAGGTGCAAAAACTCTATGTACACACACACACCTATTTTATGGATTTTCATCTACACGTAACAACTTTTTATTGTTTGACATTAGGATAATACATATATATAAAACTGGCATTTAAAATATTGAATATATTAAGTCAATGGAAAAACCTTACCTTTCAAAGTGTTCTTCTTTTAAAAAACAGTAATAAAGAGCTCAGAAAACACTTATAATAAGTGCCATACAAGTATTGCAAGCTCAAAAGAAAGAATATTAGTGGTTAAAAACAATGAAGTGTTAATTGGTAAAAATTTTAATAAGTGTAAAATCCGATTCACAGAACAGTTTTTTTCAGTCCCCCCCCCCCCTTCACTTGGTGTCTACAGCTTGTGATTTTAAATTCATATTACTGATATGCAACACAGTTTACTGAATACTTTTTTAGTAAGCGTTCACAGACTACTGGTTACAAAATAACATTTCATAAAATATAAGGAAGGAAAGTATAACCCCCGATATAATTAGTTATTTAAAAACATATTTCAATTTAACAATGCAGTACTTAAACTACAATCCCTGCAATGAAGAGAGAGAGAGAACAGGAAACAGTCAATTAGCAAAAAAAAAATCTAATATGTAAAAAAACGTTCACACACAAGTATGGTAATAGAATGTACAGAGTGCCCAACCCCAGCTACAAGAATCACCCCATTTTGGACCCCTCTAAATTAAACAAAACATGGAAACAGGATGAAGGGTAAATTTATGCATGGTTTGATGAAATTAAAATAAGTATTCAGGTGTATGGATAGTTTGTGGTGAAATGTGGTTTATTAGTTTAAGTCAGATTAAGGATACGTGGATTGTGATTATTTCTTTTGATTCAAGTGCACTTGGCTAAAAATGCCTCATCCTCTAGTGTGCAGCATTTCTCAACATTTGCAATACCAGGGACTGGCTCACTGCCTCCCTAAACTGTTGCAGAGCACTAGAATGCAAGTACAAAGAAAAATCATTATGATATACATACGAATATTCTGCCAGTTTTTGTTTTTATGAAATACCAAGAACCAGCAAAGTGGTCGAGAAGCACGGCTTTAATGTATTCTTTACATTTCACTAAAGACTATCCATACAGTTGGATAATTATTCTAATTTTTGTTGTTGTTTTTTTTACAAAAACTTGTAATGCTTTCTGATAAAAGGATGAAAAGAAAAACCTCACAGATGAGTTTCAAAACTGCTCCTGAAGAACCAAAAAAAAAAATAAATATATATATATATATAATATA